CTGTCCGGGCGAGGGGCTGTCCTGGAGGGGCTGCCCTGGAAGGGATGTCCTGGAGGGACTGTCCTGGAGGGGCTGTCCGGGCGAGGGGCTGTCCTGGAGGGGCTGTCCTGGAGGGGCTGCCCTGGAGGGGCTGTCCTGGAGGGGCTGCCCTGGAGGGGCTGTCCTGGAGGGGCTGTCCGGGCGAGGGGCTGTCCTGGAGGGGCTGTCCTGGAGGGACTGTCCTGGAGGGGCTGCCCTGGAGGGGCTGTCCTGGAGGGGCTGTCCGGGCGAGGGGCTGTCCTGGAGGGGCTGTCCTGGAGGGACTGCCCGGGCAAGGGGCTGTCCTGGAGGGACTGCCCGGGCAAGGGGTATGCTCCACAGGGGATGCTCCGCGGGGACGGCGGTGAGAACGCGCTCAGAACGGCCCCTGCCCGAGCGCCTTCCCTCCCGCGGGGAGAGGGGCGGCGGAGTCGATGCCTACACGGGTTAGGGACAGTCAGAGAGGTCGGGTGAACTCCCTGAACTTCGGGTGTCGAGGAAGATTGGGCAAAGAGGGGCGTTTCTGCATTGCCTGTAGGTCTGTTGGTAGGTTTTTTCTTAGGAAATAGGCGGAGGGAGTGAGAAACCCATCTATGTATTTCACTCTCCTCTTTGAAAGAACAGTGCTGATTGACACAGAAAAAGTATATCATGTTCTATATGACTTTTTCAGAAGAGAAAGATGATCTAGGGCCATAGGGTGGACTTACGGTGGGAAGCCCAGCGAGTCTGAAAGTTTGACTGGGAGGGAGAGAGGAAGGGATTATGACAAGGAACAAGGGAAAGAACATCCTAAGAGGAAAACCAGAAAGTTATTAATGAGAATGGGGGGACAGAGAATAAGGTTACAAGTACAGGTGTCAGTAGGAAAGTGACGTGATTACATTTATTGTCAGAGAAACCAAACATTCCAGGCAAAGCAGCTGCTGCTTTCCTCAGCAAGGGTAAGGCTTTATGAGTTGACATTGAGAAATATTGTTTGAGAAATTCCTGTCAGAATCTATGGTTTGTATGAAAAGTAAAATGAAGGATTTGTCAGGAAGAGCTACACCTGGAGAAGGGCAGAAGGGGAAAACACGTAGGAGATTGTAAAGCAGGGCAGCTCTGTGAACCTAAAAGACAATAGCTTTTGAACACACATATCGTGTCTGGGAGAACCAGTGGGAAGAGAGATCTGAGAGGACCAGTTCAGGACAGAGCTCTGCTGTCAGACTGGGCCTATCTCCCTCTCCTTGACTGCCTCAGTATGATCTGCCTGCTTTCTTTTCCTGTAGCCACTAACTTGCCTTAGATGGCAGCCCCAATATTTGTGCAGCTCCAATAGTTGCACAGCCCAAATGATTATCTCATGCCAGACTCTTATTTAAACTATTAAAAAGTCACAGAAAACTTAAGTGACAAAGACGGAAGCAGATGTGGAAAAAGGCAAAGGTTCAGCAAGATAAGGCACATGAAGCAAAAAAAAGAAACCGAAATTTGAGGGAAGCGTAATAAACTCATTACAGAAAAAGGAAGATGGAGAGAGAGTGAAATATAGAACAACTTTTAACACAGAAAAAAAAACTGATTAAAAGGTCATCAAGTAGAGGAAATGCAGAAAAGAAATAAGAAACAGGGATTTTATGCATTCTTTATGTCCAAAGATAGGTGTGAGTTAGAAATAAGGTATTTCATTAGAAATCTTGAAAGTAATCACATGTTCCACATACAGCAATATTGTCTTTTTCTTTTTAATTTCAAAAAATACCCCACACATGGCTTTCACCACAGTTCTTAATTTACATTGTCCATTTTCACAACATCCCTTTTTTTTTAGCTTTTCTTCAAGGTTGTTCCCAGCAGGTATCGCTAAATATTAATGCCTCCCACACATTTTAGAGCCAGCTGGGATTTCTTTGTTGATACCTATCAAGTGTATGGCAAAGAATGCACTAAAATATCACTAACAATTTTTCTTCTGTTCCCTGAACTTTTTTAATTCGTAGTGGTTACATAAAGGAAGGGATGCTCCAAGTTTCTAGGTCCACTTTGCAAAAAGTCGATCTTTTTTGGTTTTGTTCTCTCTGTAGACCTGAATGTCAACACTGATCATGAAAGAATCTTGTTAAAACCCTCAGCTTAAAACACAATAACAAACAAGCTAACGAATCCCTCTGTTTGCTCAGGGACAGTCTGTCAATGCCCTTCAGGTGCTCTACAGAAACAGTGGAGTACTTTATATTTAGAAGAGTTGACTCCTATCTTTCCTCTTAAAATGAGTATGCAGTGAGGCTGCTTCTCCAGGAGCTGTTTATCTTTGTGCGTGCTATGTCTTATGTACTTCAACAGTGAATGGGTCTAATTTAATTTATTTGCACTGAGACAAATACATTTTTCTTATGGTGCTATTAGTTGAAACTACCATCACGAACTCGCCGTGTCTCCAATAGGAACAGTTCTATTAATTATAAATGCAGGTTATACTTTAGATATGCAGAGTTCAAGCTTCTCAAAATCCTTGTGGGAAAAATATATGCTTGCTTGTGCTTTAGGAAACCAGTTTACCGTTGCATTCTTTTATTCTGCTAAATGAGACTGTTTTCAAACTTTTGAAAATTTTCTGCTGGTACTGTTGAATATTAAAATATTTTCTTCTGAGTGAATTCAAACAACCCACCTTGATTTTTAAAAGGTTCCAATTCAACAAAACACTCAAGCTTATATGGTTGACTTCAAACTTTGATAAAATATTTCCTAATTGTTATGAATGTTTTAATTCACTATTGTTTTAATTACCATCTTTTAAATCTTTCCATATCATTACTGGTAGATTTTCCTGCTTATTATATAAAGCTAAACCAATGGATATGTCCCATCTTTAGAAGATCTTTATGTTATCTTTTGATACTTCTGGCAGTTACAGTAGATTGAAAGGCAAGACTTGTTTGAACATTTTTTTTAAAACCAGAATCAACAGAGCTTCTGTCTCAAATATTAATGTTGCTTATTTATATATGCCTCACGTACCTGGATAAAAAATCAAATTTTATTGCTCAGAATTCAAAACATGATAGCTGGTGTGTACCATGTGCATACAAAACTGAGCTGCATCATTTCTTTTCAGTAGTATTGGAGGTTAATTGAAGTGTATTCTTCACAAATGGAAAACATCAATATGCTGAGAAAAAAGTTTTCACCAAAATATTCTAATGTCAATCTCTAATTCTCCTTATAACCAGTAGGCTGGATAGCTACTGTATCTCTGGTTCAACCACAATTTAGCTGTATATGAAAGCAAATCACTTGTGTTTATGAGCTTGAGAAATATTTACCAGGAGTAGCCTGTGAGGAAAAAATGCTTTAAGGTTACTGGCAGAAGATGGTCCTAATGTGAATCATAACAGTATCTAACTTTTTTTTTTTTTTTTTCCAAAAATGGAGATACTTGAAAAAATTTGTAGATTAGGACAGCAAGAGCTAAGATAGGTCAATATTATAGACTACCTCGGGGTATTAACACACAGTTTATACAATTGAATGCAAGATAATGTAGCTACTTCAAGTTATTCACAGAGAGGAACCAAGGTGCATGTATGGGTGGAATGATTAATTAATGTGCTTTTTGGTGTGATAGCATTATTCTGTAATATTAAGACAAACTAATCATAGTTGTAGTCATGAGAAGTTATTATTATCATTTTAGTATGCCCAATCATAAACACATTCTGGTTCAGTATGTTTAATCAATCTGTAAAAAGGCACATTATATTTCAGTATGTTTAATCATTCAAATTTGAAAGAACTGACAAATTTGAAAGAACTACAAGAATTTTACAGCTTGGAATACTGTTTTAATATAAAATTAAACTTTGTGTAAAAAACTGAAAGGTCTTTAGACATCTGCATGAAGCAAAAGCAATTGTGAAGTCAAGGTAAAAAAATTAAGGTTTAAAATAATTATAGGTAATAAATTGGCAAGACAAACCTGATAAAAGATGAATTCGGAAAAGAAGAAGAATTACCTTTCTTTGAAGCAATTAAATGATTGAAGTACC